AAGCAAATGATCAGAGGTAGATAGCTCAAATAAATCAGTAGGCTTGATGACACTGTAGCCTTTTATGATCTTGAAGGTTCCTAAAAGATCGCCTCTCAGTCTATGCTGCTCCAGGAAAAACAACCCCAAGCTCTTTAGCTGATCTTCATACTACTTTTCACGATGGCGTTCGACCATCTTGGTTGCTAGTTTTTGAAACTTTTCCATGCAAATAACACCAAGGAGATAAGACGATCAAGCCTGAACACAGTACTCCAGATGCGACCTAAACACTGCTTTGTACAATGGTAGAAAAACTTTTGGTTTGTCGTTACACAGTGCCCTCCTGAGGCGAAACAGTTCTTGTCGCGCTTTGTTGGCAGCAAATTGACATTGCGCCGAAGGCTTAAAACTGCTTGCAATGACAACTCCTAGATCACGTGCCTGCTTGGTGCACTGTAAAGAGAAAGACTTAGAGGAAGTTCGCACCGCAGTCCGTCTCTACTAGTAATCAATAATTGGCATTTGTTGGCATCAAAAAGCAAATCCCATTGCTTCGACTAGTTAATCACATTGATGCAATCTTTGATCAGTGTTGCTCTGTTGCCCCTGCTGACCAGCATTAAGTAATCTGCAAAAATATAGCATTGATCTTCTACGTGTATAAACGTAAGAAACAATAGTGGACCAAGTACCGATTCTTGGGGAACCCCACTGTAGGCCATGCCGATACGAGAATACACATCTTTGATCCTAACTCGAAACGTTCTCCCAGGTAGGAATTCCGACACTCAAGACAACAATTTAGAATGCAATCTAAACCACGTCAATTTCTCAAGTAAGAAACGATGATTTGCTGAGTCGAAAGCCTCACTAAATTCGAGATAGCACACCACCGGAATGCCGTCATCAAGACATCCAGTACTTTAGAATGCACAGCAGTTTAGTGAAGCACGACTTCTTTTTAATGAAACTATGCTTTTCCGCTCTACTTAGATTTTGCTCCGCCAAGTGCTCACAAACCCGGTTTCTTGTAAGCTTTCCTAAGCACTTGAGCAAAACACAGGTTAGACTGACAGGTCTATAGTTCAGAGGCTCCAAATTGGATCCCCCGTTGTGGTTCGTGACTACGGTTGCCTCCTCCTAGTCTCGTAGTAACTTGCATTCCTGAAGGTTATGACGAGGCCGACCCGTCCCAGACAATAGAATAAGATGTGCAGTCTAGTCTCACATCAATTGTTATTCTGTATATCCCATAACCTCCGGAGCAACCTTGATATCACAGTAATGGACTAGTTCGGTTTTTTGTACCGTGCTCTAAGTGCTCGGACATTTGGTTGCTGCGCGTACGCAAACAATGGTCTTATAAAGAGAAGATTAGATGATAGTCAGCTACCTCAGAAAAATTACAGGGATTGCCTTCGAGCGCCCAAACATGAACATCTTCCAGTATGACATGATTGTGTTTTGAACGGACTGCAACTCGCAGCGCAAGAGTATGCTTAAGTCTTTTAAAGAAAATAGGGAATGCAGTTCCGGCCGTCGTCAACCTTCCTCTAGCTCACAAATGCTGACTGGGATAGCTTTACTTAAAGGTTGACTTCTGCAGACCATTTGGTGTGGCGACTTAGGTGTTGCTTAAGTAGGTTCAGCTATCGTAAACATCTGTTGCTCGGCAATGCTTCAGACCCTCTGAGAACAAACAATATGGCGACCGGAGAAGCCGAAGTACACCGTTGTGGTGAGTCATAATTAGTTAAGGCCTCAACGCTATGCATTCGCGCAAGGCACTGCTACAGGGATTTGAGCGGGTAAGATGGCCGTCAGCCTTTGCACTGCACTGCCGCCGAAAGCTAAACTTCTGGATCCACTGATGCAATGACCCACCAACACCGCACATTCTCAGCCTTTGGAGTAGGACCTCATGCTTCACCTTGTCCAGCGCTTTACTAAAAGATATGTAGACTCGGTCGACAGACTTGCGCTGGTTTATTACCTTCATTCACTAATCCATCGTCACCGGTAGGTTGGCGATGCATGGACGCCCTAGCATGAGATCGTGTTGATATGCTGTCAGATCTTTCGAACATTTCACAGTCCTCAAGGTAACTTTGGCCGAAGCACTTGTTGGACCAGTCGGCCGATAATTGCCTAGTTTGTTGTGACCGCTGACCCACTTAATGCACTTTACAACCGAGCATTTTCTAGCACTCAAGCATAGCCCTTCAGACAAAGTCATGTTCACTCACGGCACAAGTGATGATGTCGTAAAAGGACTGGGTCCATCACGCCTGACGTGATCAACATTCGCCATTAGTTGAGCACGTCTTCAATACTTTGGTCCAGACTGTCACGTTCGGTGAGTGGTCTACGTGTCGAAGACTTAACAGGCACCTGATCTTTTGTGAATGCGGAAACTACGTGTGCCGAAAACGCATTCGCATGCCCTGTGCTGATGATGATGGTTACTCGGCAAGTTACCCGCAGGCACCTATCATCACTCCACCTAAGGGGGAAATTCTCCTCAGGATCGTCTTTGTTGTGGTTGATAGCTTCTCTTCGAAATCCCCGAGTTTTCTCGTCTTGGCTTCGTTGTAAACATTCCGCCGCTTCGCATAAGCTTCCTAGTATTTCATAGTCATATGGGAGCAATTTTTTCACCACTCTGCACCGCAACGGAGCTAATTTGCTATACTCCTCGACCAATTATTGTGGCGTGAATACTTACTACCAAATACTGAAGTTAGAGAGCTGGTAGACACGCATCTATGTTACTCCATCGTAATTAGTTCGGGCACGTGCGCAGAGTCACCTCAGTGATTCCTGAGCGTCTGCTGTGTTGCAGCTACGCCAGACTATTTGGGTGCAATGCACTCCCTGTATCTGAAATCCACAAAGAAGATGTCTAGGAGTTGCTTGACTTCCGACACTGATTTTGCCTCAACGATATTCGCAGGCAAACTGTTCTTTTTCACCATTCAGTTTTCAAAAGATACAGGGTGTGGTATCTGTTTTAGGTCATGTACCACTAGCTTGTACCGGTGTCCCGGAGTGCCACTTAGTGAGCGCACGTAAAACAATGGTTGCAGCATGGGGAAGTGACACAGATGCATTATCTGATGCGTCGTAATGGGGTCAACTCTAAACCGGTGGTACTATAGTTTGTACAGCCCTAGACGCCTGCATCGGTCTCGTGTCGCACACACTACAAGCTGTGGAGAAGCCTGGTAGCCACATGATGATCACGTTCAAGTCTTTGTTCCTCGTCACGGGTAAGCGGACGATAGACGGGTGATCCGTACTCGAGCATCGGTCTCAGGATGGAAGAGAAGAGATAGGTGGCAATCCCTCCGGACCAAATGCAGAGGCTGCATGTGTAATCCGGTTCCATATGGCTTTTGTGTTGTCTACGGACTTCAGATCGCAGCGTGAGAGTACGCCGAGACCTTTCACAGAAGGTGTGGGATGCAGCGGATAGTAAGGAACCTTGTTCGGACGCAGCCAGCTGGTTTTTTATGACGTTTACATACTCCTTGAACAAAGTAACGCTTTCCGTCACCCTGTGAGTTCCTAAATTTGGACTACGTGTTGTTCTGTGTTCCTGCACAGTCACTAGATTCAGCCACATTTAGTAGCATCAACACGCTTTACTTTTGCAGATACCAATCTTTCTTAGGGTTAAGTTGGTCTTAACCAATAGAGAGACATGTATCGCTTACCACTTTGATCTAGATTTCTCTCTTAACCTAAGCTCCAACCATTCTTCTAAATGGGTGAACATGTCACATCTCAAACAAACTGTCGAACGCAGATTCGGTTTGGACTTGATATGGAAGCTTCAGGGCCAATGCGTCTCGAAATTACCACATATTCTCTAAACATCTATTAGGTTTGTTCAGCTCTTGCTGTATCTTGCTGCAACCTTCCCTGGTGACCGATGTACTACATACCTAACTGACTGCCTATTACATTTGTATTAAGATAAACGCATCGGTGATTATCGGTTGTCGTATCGTTTAACATTTCAAATCATTTTGTTGTTTGCGTGCTCTTCTTTTCCGCATCTTTAATTGGTTTGTTCTAAACTATAACCGTCCAAATTCATCACACTGTGGATCACCACTGTTTACTATTCTCAATCGCCCCCAGCTCTATCCAGATCCGTAAGCCACGCACAAATACATTATGTATCGACGGTTTAATTTCCAACTATTTCTTCACACAAATCATTTGAAATTTTTAAATCGTGTTGGTCGCGTCCTACCTGGTTTGATGCTCATCATAAAGCAACCCTTGGATATCTTACCAGAGCCTTGTTTACCTTGAATCAATAGCAATCATCACGAAAATCATTTTGTTATCTTTCTAGCTGTACCCCTTTTTGGGGTGCACTATCACCGTAGTAATACATCATGCTTTCCCCTACGTTATTGATAAACCTCACACATTTCCCTTTGTGTTGCTGCCTTTGCTGACGACATGTTCTTCTTTCATACCTTATCAAGATGTGCGGTAACACGAAGATGAGTTTCTTCCTTGTTGACAGTAATTGTGCCGAGAAATTGAGAGGCTTGCAACTGTCAGCTGCGTCAACTATTGTTAGATGGTAGAAGACAATTTTGAGTTATCTGTACACCCGCTAGCATTAATCGACACATCCACATTGGTCTTAACGATGAGTGAAGTTATATTTCTAGTTCTTTGTAACCCCATCAAACGCACAGGGATTAAACCTCAGCAATGAGACTGCATCTCGTTTTATTGAGACCTTTATGGTGTTCCGTATTAAGAGAGAGTCCTGGAACTTTATCTTCCAGCAGTGGCCAAATACGGTGTTGGAAAATAAATCATTGGGGATGGCAGGGCAACACAATCACCGAAACTAGATGCAGTTGGATGTAATAGGTTCAGGTCAAAGGAAACATATAAACTCGAGGTGTAGGTTGACATTCTTGGCAACGCCCACCGATCTGCAATACACTAACATATTAGCGCTCATTGATCCCCATTCTCTTTTTCAGGCTGGTTGAGTAATCAACTTTATGAGTGATGGGACAACAGAACATGCTCAATGACCCGACAGACAACTTTAGAACCCGTTTGTTGATATTTGGACGCCATTGCAAGGTACTACTCTGGAAAAATGTGCTTCTGCGTCGTCGTAAACCACTGTTTCTGACAATCGAATTGCTGCTACCTCTCCTGATACCAGTTGTAATCATCGCTGTTCGAACCCGCGACGCTGACAAAATAGTGCCAAACTGCTTCACACAAACAGTGGCTATGCCTAGCATGGGGTTGCTGAGTTATGTACGATCCATGATATGCAACTTCAACTATTCGTGTCAGCAGATCCAACCACCTCCGCTTACGTTCAAATGGAATTTCACCTCATTGCTACGAATGACACAAAGCCTGATGTGGCTTTTGGATACACATCGATTGTGAGTGCTCGAATTATTTGGTGTCTTAACCGCTAATAACTGGAATATATTTACTAGAGCATACTGGCACAGTTAGTCAACAAACTTTCTCTAAGGTGAATAGTTCCCGTTTTAGTCATGAAAAGGTGGTTTAACAAACAAGTTCGTTTTCGGTGACGCAGCTTCAGGCCAAATAAGGTCACAATTAAATAGTCGGCTAATTTTGACACCACAATATTCTAGTAACTCACTCCATCCTTTCTTAACTCTTTGAGTGTGATATATTTGGCCTGATGATGAATCGCCGGGAACTTGTCAGACTTCAGCACATTTTATTTTGACACTTTTTCCTGCTGCATTCGCCTCAATCCTGCATCACCGAAGACTGTGACTTAACCATATCGTCGGTCAGTTCTACTTTAGTCGCTCCAAATACACCTGATTTTAATAGTTATTATATCCGTAGTTGACATAACATTGTAGACTCTGCAATTCTCCATGTTATCTGTACGACGACACGGCTTATCCGACTCATGCGTTTCGTTTATTTTGCATTCATTGGTTGTTGGTACCAACGTCTTAACATTACATTTAGTCCCAGGTTGAGTGATTAGTCGAAGTAATCAACCATAAACTGGATTTTAGGTCGAAAAGTTAGAGGTGATTTCGATGTTTAGTGCCTTATCCTACACTAATACAAAATCCAATGTTTGAACAAAACACGAAGTGCGCTGGTTGTGATAGCATTTGATTTCTAGGTGGCATGGATAGAAACGTTGAGCAGTAAGCTGAAACTCCACTGGATGAACACCCAGGATGGACAGATACGCAGTTTCTGCTTTCAAAACTAATGAGCCAACTTTCGTAGCCGTTACTGGTGAAGTAACCTGAAAGGCTACCTAGCGCTTGGATAACCGGAAGATAATTGAACCACATATTGTCGATTGAGTATGTTATAGGAGAAACCAGTGCGTGTTCATTTCATGCACCCTATATCTTTGAACCGAAGAAGCCTATCATGAACAAAGGCTGCTCCTACTAAACTTTGCAGTGAATATTGGTTTTCTGTTCATGTTTAAAGACCTTCCAAATTATCAGGGTTTAATTTCGAATTCATATGCAAATGCACATCTGTTCGTGTTCGACCTACTAGTAATGATCTCCGTGTCGAAACAAAACGCCAAATGTCATTCAATGACCTCGAAAAATTAAGAAAAAATGTCTTATATAACCATGATACTTCTCCGATTGTGGATTTTTTAAATGGTTGCAGCTGGTGCTTATACACTCTGCATGTTATTTCAAGTGATTGGCTGTTGATTGATATCCCCGGTGTGGCTGCACTTGATGTGCATGTTGACAAGATGCCTACCTGTCTATTACCCACTACCTCGTCCATACTGGCTCCAGGAGAGTTGGTCGTTGCTGGAGAGGACGAGGTACATGGTCCTTTTGGCCAGGCTAGCCTCGAAGAGTGGTTCTATGCACTCAGTGTGGAGCGGGCTCCGGTCCGGCCACCGTCTTGTGTGCGCTTGATTCTCCACATACAGCATGCTTGTGTTTGCCTGTGAAGGAGTGTGGGCCGGCTCCGTTGGTGAAACATGGCTCCCATCCACATGCCTCCCGGTCTTATTCCTTCTGGTTTACACTGGATGTGGGGTGTGTGGTTGGAGCTGTGGGTGGTGCAGCGCAAGCCAGCCATGGTCTCTCTGTAGGCGCAGGCGTCCTGTGGCTGGACACAGTGAGAGGCAAATCCGAAACCGGATGCGGCCAACCATGTAGTCATGAGCTAAACTGCTTAGATAACAACCAAATAGGGTCGTTTGACATCTACTCTCACGTTAACAGATATGTGTGACGGACCACATTCCCATAGATACAGAGCAGCATCACGTGATCATTGGTACTGTGAGAGTGGATTATTTTCTGAATCGTACTGAGTGAGAAGCACGCTCGACCCCAGTAAATACGTGTGCAAAGTAGCTACTTAACAGCTCTTAATTGGTTTTACGCGTGAAATCTGCTGCTTGTTTACCGTTGGTTTAATACTTCGGTGAAGTGTCAGATATTGTAAATAACCCTGAATTCCAGTCCATCATAGTGCCATAGTCATGCAATTCGTTATACAAGCGCACATTAGCAAGTTTCGACTTGATTTTGTAGTTCTTTGAACAGTCTGAATAAACATTATTACCTATATACAATTAGTTGACTTTAGGGTTTCTGTTTCCTAAAGGTTGACCAATTTTGTTAGTTGAAAGTTATGACAAAACTCGGTTTGTGAAACAGTTGCCCTGATTGGCTGTGATAGTATATTGACCTTTTAGCATGACCGAAGTCAATGCGGATTACAAGCTTGTGCACACCAATGGCTATTTCACTCATGGCGATAAATAACTAATCGCTGGATTCCATCGGCTAAGAAGTTGGAACACGTCCAAGTATCACAGCGCATTCGATGAAGCCTAGCAATAGCAACAATCTCAAATTAGCCGCGCTGGAAACACACTTAATTTCTACAGATGTTTGTGCTGTACTTTACGTTAACGCTTTAAAACACTTACTCATACCGGCACCAATAAATTGAAAGTAATGAGAAAATCAAGCTTAGTTTTCCCAAACTATCGTTTTCCAATGGGCTGGGTTTCTACATGTCAGCAAAATGACGAATACTTCACAAAATCACCTCTCAAAATCCATGCGAAAACATTTTTTCATCGACTAATGTTGCTTTTGCAACTTTCTACACTGCTGCATCCACCGGAATGTATACTAACGAACAATGAGCGATGAGTTTGTGCAGATTAAAAAGCTATGCTTTACATGCCCGTTGAGCGGTCGGGTGGTTTATCGATTTGGGGCCTCCTGTCGTCGGCCACGCTGAACACATTAACAAACGGATGGATGGGGACTTGGTGTCCGCCTCCTAACTGGATCTGGGTGTGGAAATATGCTTGTTTTGCGTAAGAAGATTGTTAGCTTGTTCCACATGGACGGTACGATAAGCATTTGTTCTTTAACAGCAAATTATGGATAAGAACATCTACATATCCTGTTGTAGCTGGTATTTTCCTCTATTTAAAGCATAATAACCAGTCGCTAGACTGGCAGTTCATGAAATCTTGTGTTGTATAGTTTGCAACCATAGGCAAAGACCTGTATTTCCCAGAATATTGTCTTGGACCTGTTATGGTCTTCCGATTTTAGCTGGTTTGAACAGTTACATCAACTGGTTGGCAGTTTTTTTTCTGTGGCTGACATCCAATGAATTGGAGAGTTTCATGCAACTACACACTCCAACACAGGTAGATGAATAGTGGAATACATTTAGGCATGAAATTGGCGAGATGCACAGCAAACGAGGTGCTGTCCAAAAGAAGACCCCACGAATGAAAACACCGAGCAACTGACCCTCAGAGAGCAATCTAAGCAAAATAGCTTGCCTCTATTATTGTCTTGGTCTCTTATATGTTAAAGTAATTCCAATATTCATTTAACAGATAGTCGTATGCGCATAGGACGTTCTCATTGAACACTCTATTTCTACTAGCAAGTACATCCTTGTGCACATTAATTGAAACAAACTACGATTGTGTCTCTTTTTCTATGAATATCATGTTTTATACATGAAAGCTACCGTTTCGCATTTATTTTTTTATTTTATTTTGGGAATAGATATTTCATCATTGTTTGTGAATCAGTCGTTACATCAGCCAAGATTGCATCATACTTTTTTATGGTTAGTAAGGTTTTTGTTTCAACTTCTTGTTTTTTGTGATTCAGTCATTGTTTGAGATGGACGTGACTCCCAGAAGACGCATGAAGATCGTGACCTTGCACGAACACACAGACAAGACGTACAGGGACGTAGCAAGAATAGTAGACGTCAGTCCGGCAACCGTCAGCCGTGTGGTCAAAAAGAAAAAGGAAACGGGATGCATTTCGCCAAAACGCAAAGGGAAATGTGGTCCTAAGAGGAAAACCACTGCCAGGGATGACGCTTACCTACTACGGGAATGTGTTAACGATCCTCGAAAGACTAGTGACGCATTAAAACGTGATTTGGGGGAGAAAGGAATAGAAATCAGTTCTTCAACGGTTCGCAGGCGACTCCTGTAAGTTGGTCGGAAAGCCAGACGGCCTGTGAAAAAACAACTTCTGACAAAAGTAATGAAAGTTAAGCGTTACAAATGGGGACTAAAATACAAAAACTGGACAAAAGAAGATTGGAGAAAAGTCCTATTCACCGATGAAACTCATTTCTATATTCATGGTCAGAGAAGTCAGTATGTTCGGAGGTCAGAGGAAGAAAAGGTTCATGATTCCCACATTGACCACTTTGTGAAACACCCACAAAAGCAGATGTTTTGGGGGTGATTTAGTTATTACGGCGTCGGCGCCTTGCATCCAGTCCAGGGCATAATGCCCTCTCCACAATATATGGAAGTTCTCCAAAGAAGAGCTGTTCCAGAACCAAAAAAGACATTTCCTGACGGATCTGGCGTATTTCAACATCTTGGGTCCCTGTACCAAACTTGAATTTATGCTTGAATAAGTTTCTCCTTTGTCATACAGTCCATGCCACGAAGGCGTTGCTTGCAAATAGACCACATATTTTCAATGGGGTTTAAATCTGGTGAATTCCCAGGCCAGTCCAAGATGGTTATTTGATTAGTATTGAAAAAGTCTTGACCATTTTTGATGTGTGGCACGGGGCCAGATCCTGTTGAAATACGCCAGATCCGTCAGGAAATGTCTTTTTTAGTTCTGGAACAGCTCTTCTTTGGAGAACTTCCATATATTGTGGAGAGGGCATCATGCCCTGGACTGGATGCAAGGCGCCGACGCCGTAATAACTAAATCACCCCCAAAACATCTGCTTTTGTGGGTGTTTCACAAAGTGGTCAATGTGGGAATCATGAACCTTTTCTTCCTCTGACCTCCGAACATACTGACTTCTCTGACCATGAATATAGAAATGAGTTTCATCGGTGAATAGGACTTTTCTCCAATCTTCTTTT